AGAGAGAGAGAGAGAGAGACAGACAGACAGACAGACAGACAGACACTGACTGACTGACTGTAAAGATTGCTGGTTGCTGCCATCTCATTTAAATAAAGTTCTCTTATGCAGCAATACCAGTGTTAACTCTCACTCTGGTGTATATTGTTGTCAGATGCAGAAATTTGGGCATAAGTGCACGCATTGGTCAGAAAATGATTTATTTAAAAAAATCATTACTGTATTTGTGAACAGTCACTAAACAAGGTAGCAACTAAATGAGGAGGGGCTGTATTTTCAGGACAGAAGAGAACGTTCACTTGCTTACAGATGGATCAAAAGCAGGGAAACTGACCCCCAAGACGTCATGAGACATGAATCCCACCAACCTCAATTAACAGAATCAACTGTTCGGGGATGATGAAAATTTAACACTGAGAGGTGAGATATGGGATCCTAAGCTCAGTAGAGAAGTATAACAGAGGGCTCATGTACTGAATCCCATGGTGGTACTCAAAACATTGAGCAATTATTGAACTGTGTAGAGATTATCAAAAAAATTCCCTGCATAATCTGGCAATCCTACAAAATTTGAAGGATTCAGACAACAGAATTCAGAGGAACTCTAGCAGAAATCTTGTGAGGCACAATTCTCAGTAAGGGTAGTCCTAATTTGTGAGTAAGGTGGTGACAAGGACCAGGAGATAAGTGGAAGTTGGAATGGAATAATGGTGCAAAGTCTCAGTATCCTTTAAGTACGCTAGATGACAGTTCCCAGTTTGCCTAGCAAGAACTGCAGTCTATCACATCTGTAAAGCATCAGAGGGAAGGCTGCTATAGAGAGGCCAGACTACAGGAAAACCATACAAATTATTCTAAATTTCTTGGAGAAGTAAATGTCATTATGCTAGCTACAAGCATAATAAAATTTATCAGATGAATAACCTATTTCTGAAAAGGTATGTTTATTCTATTTATTAGATTTATTATACCTCAACTCTCTGAACCAGGCACATGAAATCAAAATGTCATGGCATTATAACCACAAGAACAAGAAACCAAAGAGGCTTTATTGCACAAAGAAATCTGCCATGAATTAGGAGACACAATCCACCAACAGAATGAGCCTGTACCTCCATTTCTGTATGTATAGGAAATACCTAATGATTAGATTAAGTGACTGCCTCACTCTTTCATTCCTAGTCAAGAAGTTATGAGGAAAACAAGATTGTAGCAAATATTCCAAACTAGAGTATTAGGGAAACCCACTGTGATTATGAGAACACATGAAGCTCAACTGTTTGCCAGCAACTGTTCATGCACTTCAAACACTGCCTAGATATGTAAAGGCTTTAGCCAGCAGGAAAGAACAGAACACAACACACTCCCTGCAGTGTTTGTCTCAATCTATTGACACTATCCGTCCATCCATCTTCATAGGAAGAGATGAAGTGTCCGTGGCAAGATGCTCTGCTGATCTCTCCAAGACTGGAGATGGAGTGGGGGAGTGGAGAACAAGAGCTACAAGGATGGAGTTTTCTCCTTCCACTAAGGGGAGACTATTTCACAACTGCTGTGAAATGGCTTCCACTCAGTGTTCAGTCATTCAAGGAAATGGCCTGGCATTTTCCCTACAGCTCCCAGAAGGCATCATGAGCTTGGGTCCTCCAACAATGTTAAGTATATGTTCCTATTTTGAACATCAAAGAGCTGACTCTCTCTGTCAGTCTTAAAACCAAATTTGAGGTCTTCCACCAGCAATACAACTATTGCATAAAATTTTCTTCTGGAGAAAGAACACACTCAAAAGAAGAAGAAGAAAAGAAGTTGATCAACACCAGTGACACAAAAATGGAGATCAATGTAACCTTATACACCTGTCACTGCTTATGTGGAAACTGCCCAGCACACCATCAGGGCCCCCTACTCAAGGCTCTCTGGGTGATAGTCACACTACTCTTGCAGTTAAGTCATTTCGCTCCCCCCCCCCATATTAAACTGGAATTTGTCTTCCTGTAACATAAATCCATTATTCCATGTCCTTTCTATGGATCAACAGAGAACAAGGCCTTATACTTCTTTTTGTGTGATATTTCTTCAGGTACTTATAAAATACTATCATATCTTCTCTCAGTTTCTTTTCATAAATGTGGTTTTTAGTCTCTGTTCGCCACCCTTTTATTAACCTATTCCAGCTTCTTAAAGTGATTTTTTAAGAGCAGTATACAAAACTAGCCACGGTTCTCAAGGTGAGGTTTAATCACTGTAAACTATAACAGAACTGTTGCTTCCTGTCATTTCTGTGCATCTGTTAATGTAGCCTAGAATTGTATTTCCATTTTTAGCAGCCTTGTTACACTGCAGACTCAAATTCAGTTTACAGTCAACTATATCCCAAGCTCTTTTCCACACATACTACTACCAAGACAAGTGATTTCCTATGCTACATCTGTGCCTTTGATTTCTTTTTTGTAAATTAAGTACACGCATTTGTCTCTATTAATTTCCACTGCTGTTTTCAGCCCGCGCCTAACTTACCCAGATTATTTGGGGCTTTGTTTCTGTCTTCTAGTGTACTGGATATCCCATCCAGCTTTGTATCATCTGCAAATTTTGACAACCATTCTCCTCACTCTTCAGCCAATGAAGACTGGACAGCAATTAACAAAAATATTGAAAAGCACCAGCCCCAGGACTGAATCCCGGGACACCCCTCTTAAAATCTCACTCTGCTTGGATCAGAGCCTGTTAATGAGCACTTTCCAGCCACCTAACAGATATGCTATCCATGCCATATTTATCAGGAAGTCATGGGGTATTCAGTCAAATGCTATGCTGAAATCAAAATAAATTATATCCACAGCATTCTCACAATCTACTAAAGAAGTTATTTTATTATTTCAAAAAATGAAATAAGGGGTGTCTGTCCAGATCTCAAGCATACCCACAAGTGAATTGCTATTGAACTCTTATTTTCAAGACAAGTGGGGCAAAGTACACCGGAAGCAATCATTAGCTACAATCATTCAACTTATCTTGGCCTGGCAGAGGATACTGCATTCAGCCCAAGAAAGACGAAACAGTCTCCTTTAATCATGTCAACTACCATTCAGAGTTTTTATCAGTACAAAATTGGGCTGCAATTAATGGTTTGAACGCCAGTGTTCAATGAATGAAAAGAAATCCCCAGTTAAATAACGCCAAACCTGCCTTAAAAAAGGGAACGCGTCCACTTAATACGAGCGCAGATAAAACTGCCGGCCATAGGTCGTATCGGATTTCTCTCCCAAACGGCAGACGTTCATTTTCTATTCTTCAGAAAGACAAAAGTCGTCTAACCGATACCCCCAACCCGCCCCTGAGGAAGCGAGGAGGGTCCCTGGACCGGGGCGAGACTTGCCGGATTAAATCGA